AGTATTTCCTTGCAGCAATATGTGTGTGTGTGTGTGTGTTCCTCACTTAAGGTTAGGGTTAGCTTTAGGTTTAGAGTTGGGTTAAGCATTCAGTTTGGATGGTTAAGGTTAGGTTAAGGAGCTTGGGAATGTATTATGTGTCCTCACAAGATAGAAGTACACTAGGTGTGTGTGTGTGTGTGTGTGTTTGTAGAGTGAGAAAGCGCTCTATTGCAAAAAGGGAAAAGAAACATCATTCATTTGTTGACACAAATCCTGTGCTGAAACAAACAGCTAAAGGAGAACTATTGAGACATAGAAATAGGAAAAAGGAGATGAACCCCTGAGCCATTTTGACATTGCAAAGATGATTTCCAAATGCCATCTGTTATTAAACCGCATCAAGTGTCCGGAACAAATTAATCTGAAAAGCACTAATCGGCACCTAATCATGCTGCTCGAACAAACTTTCATAATGAACCCTGAGAAATGCAAAGCTTCACCTTTGGATCATGAATCGACACATTCACACCTTGATTAAGATCCCTGGATCATAGCTGTGACAAGCTTAACCTTATGTGAATCATGCTCCTTGGTCATCTGCGCTCTTCCAAGCACATGACTGACAGCACCTGAACCAGGACACCATTGTGCACGCACTGTCAGACAGAATTACACTCCACCAGAAACCAGGTTTAACTGATATCAAAGACGTTCAAACAACTCATAAACACTTCTCCATTCGTATATGATCTCAAAAAGTCAATGCCAAACTCTCTGCAGTTCTCTCCACGGGGAAACCTCCTCACCTAAGTTCAAGGAAAATACAACAGTCAGTCTGAACAAGGTGGCATTTAAATCACTTTAAAAAAAAATGGAAGAAGAGAGAAACCAGCTTACCTTCACAGTTCTTGCCATTGAATGCTAGTGAGAAGCCAGCCGTGCATGAGCAGTGGTAGGAGCCTGGGGTGTTTTCACAGGTCTGGGCACACAGCCTGCCGGAATAGCGCCAGCATTCATTCACGTCTGTCAGTGCAGGAGTAAGAGCTATTAGACAGCAGGCAGACACCTCCAGGCCACCGAGGACTCAACGCCACTTCTCATTCAGACACAAACACAGTGATGTGCGTGGAGACCTTTTCCCCTTGTTTGCCGATTCTTCATGTTCCTAGTGTAATTGTGTGGGGAATCCTTTACTGGCACACTTTGACACACAACTGAAAGCACCTCAAAGAAGGTTTGATTGGCCGAGTCCTTCTATCTTGAAATAATTCATAGACTAATACATTTTTTATCAATAAAATAATCAGCACATTGATCAATAATTAAAAAAGTATTACAGGCGTATTAATGGGATGCATTTTTCATGTACTGTAGTAAAGTCATCAGTCTGCCACTTCCTCTCCACCCCTGTCATCACACTTTATAATGGATTCTTCCTCTTCACCAGTTTCTGTGCATCACTACCCACTTTCTTATTAAAATGACCAGATCTGTTAATGCTAATGATGCCCCTGAGCTGAACAGGAGCGTTTCTTATGTGGGGTTGATGATTTTTCAACTTAACATTTGCCGCTAGTGTGGTTAATGGAACAAAAACTCAGTTTTATTTTGATCTAATTTATAATGTCATCACTCCAGTTTATTTTTTCTTGATAGACTTTCTCTTCCTCCTTCAACAGTGATGGAGGCCCACCCACAACTGAGTTTATAGCAATAAGATATGTAGATTTTAGTATTTAATTATTTGGTGAAGAAGACAGAAAAAAGATGGATGGTAACACTGATCTTATATCACCGGCAACATTATCAGTCATTTGGAGTCGATTTTCTGTCCACCTGATGAATGAAAGTCCATTACTCACTCTGCCTTTCGCTCCGTTTTGGTCATCACCAACTCAGTTTGATAGGCAGCTCCCATAGACTGTATATAAAAGATATAGTTGGTGTAGCTACTAAATGCTGCACTGGGTTTACCAGTTGGTTGCTGATCTGATCTGTCTGTTAAGTGGGTTTATCAGAGCTTTTAGCGGTGCTGTTCAGCGTGACTGGTAATTGTGTTGATGAGACCTGCGACACTGACCCAAACAACAAAGCTGTGGTCCGTAAAAACCAAAAGCAATAATCTGAAACCACAGAGGTGAGGAAAATTAATTCTTCAGTTCAATCAGGCAGACTATCTTTATGACTCATCTATTAACAATTCCATCACTTACTCCTCCTCGCCCTTTTCTATTCAACTCACTGTGGGTGTAATACAATCAGATTTTGGCACAACATCAATAAGACAATCATGTCGTTGCTGTCAAACTTTAAATCTGTTCTCTCATTCACTGTCAACTGTCATTTAAGTCATTAGCTACGAACCTGGTCACGTCCTCACTTCATATCCAGAGCACAGCTGAGTCCACTCATCATCATATTCAAATCACAGATTATATATAATGATGGACAATGCATTTCCACTGCCTCTAGTCACATAAATATTTAGTTAAAACATCCTGGATACGAGTGCCAAGTCATTTGGAGTAGTTTGTGCAGTAGTGACCGTGGTGTTGAGCAATACTATTGAAGTCTCGCCAATACACAGGCTACCATTACGTTTCACCTGGTTAAAATAGCTTCAAATAACTATGGTTGTGAACTGAATTACTCCAGCCTCCCCACCTCAATCTTGATGACATCAAGGGGGGGGTCTAATCACCTATGAGTCTTTTCTATCACGTCACTTCACCTCTCGCTGTGCTTGGCAATAACAATTTGTTGAATTGTCAGCTGATGTCTTTCCTGATTGAACGGCAGATTTGTGTGATCGCTCATTTTGTGTCAGTCACTACAACTGACTTCTGTCTCAAAGCACAAACTGAAGTATTTTCATTGATTGTTAATACAACATTTATTGGTCATGCAGCTTTCATTTAGCCTGATGGCATTTTTCATTTACTTACAATTGTAGGACTATTGCCTTTTTGCAGGGCTGTAGTTCACCCGCTGCTGGGGCTTATTACCAAGACAAAGAGGAATGACCACATCATCCCTGTGCTTGCCTCCCTACATTAACTCCCTGTTAGATTACACTTTTAGGCCTTAGATGGCCTCACTTCTTAATAGCTCTCAGATTGATTGACTTGCTATGTGCCCTCTTGCTCACTGAGATCAATGGGGGAGTCCTGCTGGTTACTCCCAGGTCACAGCTTGTGACAAAGGGGACAAGGATGTTGCCATTAGAGCCCCCACACTATGGAACTCTCTGTCTGCTAAATTTAGACACACTGAGTCTCTATTAGCTTTTATTCACTCAAATTATTTCTATAGATTTCATCTTCCTCTCAATTTCTTTTGTTGCTTTAGGCACTCTGTAACATTGTTACAGTGCTGTTAAATATATTTTTTCATGATTATAATATTAATCACTTTACCAATTCTAAATTAAATTTTTTGGGGGATCATTCTTTGTGAATGGAGTTTGCTCAGGTGGTCTGCCACTTGATCCTGGACTTTCCATTTATGAATAGATACAATTCCATGTTCAAGAATAAGCCACCTCTTCAATGACTTGTAACATATTAAATATATTTGACCAGTGCTTTATCATTAACACCCATAAGCAGATTATTTCTAGGCTATTTTAACTGATCATATTTTTACTCAGCTACACACAGCTAAATCTTAGATTGTTATTATTCTGTGCACTGAAGTTTAACTGAGGCATTTAGGTGGGTTTTGCCTCTGGAGCACATCTGGCTTCAGAAACAGTTTGGCCAGCTGAACCTCCAATCTGTTTTTCATCATTTCACAGACTTGACATAGGGATACGTACCAGTGCAGACTTTGTGGAGCGCATCATACTGGTAGCCCGTCTGACAGTCACAGCGGTAGCTGCCAGGGAGGTTGTGACAGATCTGGCCCACTCCACAGCGGTGCGTCCCCATCTGACACTCATCAGAGTCTAGACAGGCAGAGAAAAAGAGAAAGCACTTCAGCAATGGCCCATTCTGCACCCATCTGGGTTTGTAGCCCAGGTAAACTCCACTGCTCACTCTCTCACACAGACACACACACTCTTTTTTTAGAGCGATCTCAGTGTTTACGGAAGTCCTGTAAATTCACTAAAAACAAAGGGCATGTCAGACATCACTACTGTAAAAACACATTTATATTTAACCAGACTCCTATTAAATATTTTAAATAATGCTAAAGAGGAGACTGGCAGAAATTTAGGGCAAAGTTGGCACATTTTTTCATTAAGGAATTCATAACTTGTTCCTATTAAATATTCTTTAAAAGAAAATCATTAAAAGGTAACAAATAATCTTCTGCAGGATTTTACTGAAGAAATCTTGAGAAAATTAAGGATAATATGGGTAATTTTTCATTACTTGTACTTATTAAATATCATTTTTAAAAATCCATTAAAGGTGACACAGAATTGTCCCCTCACTCTTGTTCACAGTGACCCCCAAAAGTCAGTTTTACATGCCACCTTGGGCCCTGGGGAATTGTGTGATGGGAACTTTTTTTTTGAGTTGTGTAACAATTTGATGGACTGAATATTTTTTAAGACAGGTATCCTCATTAGGTATCAACCCTTTGTGAAGTGATGCCAAGCAATATCAGGCTTTTATATGGGAAGACATAACATAAAAATGATCATTTAAGGCTCCAGAACATGAGCACTTGCCCAATAAACTTAGGAGGCACGTTGTTCCAAGGCCCAGTCTCAGACACTAAAAACCTCTGGACTAAACAAGTGGTTGATCTGTCTAAAAAAGACACATGTTGCCAATCTCTTTGAAGGCTGTATCTAGGCAGGGCACTGTTTTGTGCTAAATCCTAACATCAGCATTCTAGTGGTTTGGTCAGACCAAACTGGAAGAAACTTTTTTCATGCAGTGTGAACACATACAAAATCAATGCATTGTCTATGCAAGCTGACAATGTTCAGCAAAAAAGAAACTTATGTACATGTGGTCACCTGGAGCTGGACTATACAATGTCTGAAGCCAACTTTATATAAACAGAACAAAGTAGGAAAGGGCTTGGGAAAAAATTGTCTGTGGAACAGTAGGAATAACAGGTTATTGTAAATTATGTTTCTGTTAAGTAACAGCTATTGCTTCTACTTTAATACGAACCAAGTTGTCACCAGTGTTAGCAGCCTCCACCTGTTAGCCAGTTAGCTAAACTTAACTACTCAGTTTTCAAATAAGTCAAAAAACAGTCCAGCATTTGAAATCGGACCTGTAACACCAGGTGAAATTACACTTTCCGCGGTCTGTTCACTTAAGAACATGACCTCAGTGATAACATTAGCACTGTTAAAAGAAAGCAAAAATATATATTTTTTTTTATCTGTTTGTGCTTCAAGGTACAGTGTGTAGAATTTAGTGATATCTAGTTGTAAAGTTTCATGTTGCAGCTGAACACCCCTCCACTTCCAAACATGAAAAGAACCTGTGGTAGCTTCAGTTGTCATAAAAACTCAAAAGGTGTTTAGTTTGTTCAGTCTGGACTAATGTAAGAAACTTGGCGGCCTCCGTAGAGAGGACCTCCTCAATGTAAATATAAAGTATTTACATATAAAGGGCCTTTTCTGCGGTAAAGAAAACTATAATTCATATAATTTAGATGAGAAGAACTAGTGAAAACATCATGAGGATTATTCTACATTAAATTTCTGCAAATAGTTCCCTTTCACCTAAATCTTACACACTGTACCTTTAAATTTACCCTTTAATTTCCCTTTTGTGTCATTTTGTAACTCTGTCTTTAATCACTTCATAGCAAACACCAGGATGATATCAGGCAATTCACATCTTTCCACAGTTGCCAGCACTGAGTGTCTATGCTGAGGTGAATCTCACCGACACACTTGGCTCCATCGGGGCTGGCGTGGTATCCGTGGCTGCACATGATGATCTTCTGCTGGCACGTGAAGGAGCCCACAGTGTTGATACAGTTAAAGCCCGAGCTGCACGGCTCACTCAGGCTGTTACACTCATTGATGTCTGCAGGAACAGAGAGAGAGTTAAACCTTACGACTGCTTGAAAAAATGACAGTTCCACAGGAGAGTGACTGTGAGGAGGTTTAATCCTGACTGACAGGTCTACCTGATTCCATTTCCTCACAGTCACTTCAACAGGATGACTACGGAGTCGTGTATTTACTTGTTGGTGGTAATCATGCCTTCTCAGTATGCAGTGGTTCCAATACTCTGGAAGGAGATTAAGAACTGTGGAGGTGTGGGTGAGGGTAGTCATGGGGATGATGGATAGAAAAAATAAATCTCACTAAGAAAATGCATTTGGACTTTTTAAGGCCCCATGAAATTAAAAATTCATGTACTCAGTTTTTATCCTGTGTACATAAAAAAATTAATAAAAACAAATGTAAACAAACAAAAACATTTTTTCTATTGTTCCTCTTCCTGTAAAATGACTCATACTGCTCTCGTGGGCGTTAATTCATTTAGCGTCTAATGGTAATGCTTTCTGGGATTTTTAACTCCCTCCATGTGACCACAAATTCTGCCAGTCAGTGGCCGCACACTGTCCGAGTCATCTGTTAAGGAGCAGGGGAAGATGGTGATGAGAAATCCTCAACACAGAGCTCACACTGTCAAGTCCGTCATGACTAGTTATCTGTCAGCTCTGCCACCTGAAGCACATTCAGTGCTATTGACTACCGCAAACGTCAATCAATTTCCACTACAGTTGCCACCATAGCCTTGTGTTCTAACAGGAAACATGGAGATCAAATAGAGCTCTGATGTCTGTCTCACAAGGTCTTTAAATAACTCATTGAGAATCACAAAGACAGGGAGGTTGAATTACAGTTAGTGATGTCCTTCAGCCTTTAAGCAGCACTAAGAGTCACTGATGCACTGAAAAAGAATGTCCCAGAAACGTCAAACGTTGATCTGGAAAAACAAGATGATTTACAGAACCTTTGAAGAAAGACTGATCAGTGCAATTTCCAGAGAAATACACGCAGGGAGCCGTTCAGACTAATGATGACTTTGTTATGTTTCCATACATCAGACACATTATAGTTTCTTCAGCATTTCCCCATTCCCAGATCATAATGTTTCTACACACAGTGCATGTCTTTTTAAAACAGTGAGGTCTGAGTCTTTTGATATATCTGTAAAAAAAAAAAAAAAAAAGGGTGAAAGTGAAAGAAAAAGGAACACCCTGGAGTCTGGTGACCAGGAAACTACTGAAGGGTCTTTACAAGTCAAGAAATAATCCATCACATCCATCTGTAATTTTCACATCCAAAATGTGTAACATTAAAACGGAAATCAGAAAAGCCTGTCACAATTAATTTAATACAATTCAGAAAACTGGTGAGAATTCCCTATTGGCTTAAACACAAGGTGACAAAACATCTAGAAAATGTGACAGTCTTTTATTGATTATGAAAGGCATTCCCCATTGACTGTTCCTATGTGTATATCTTTGTTGATTATGTGTCAGTAAACTATTAAAGCATCTAGAATCATTATTAAAATAAAAATAATAAATCAAAAGACAGAGAGTGAATCCTGGACACACACACACGGCTCCAGTCAAGCATTTCCATGTCAACCTCACAACAGAATGGAGATGTTCAAAGAGGCGAAACGGGACAAGGTGCACTGAATCTCCTCTGAAGATCATTTCTTTTACTCCACTCTCTATTAGCTGTTTAATGGTGAAGTGGAATGAGTTTCTTTTAGCCAGCAGAGAGCAGCTCTGACAGTCTCTTACCAATACAGTTTCCATGAGAGTCCTGTGTGAAGCCGCTGATGCACTTGTGTTTGGTATTACACAGGAAGGAGCCCACTGTGTTCTCACACACCAAGCCCGGACCACAGTTATGGGTCCGCAGCACACATTCGTCAGTGTCTGAAAGAAAAAAAAACGGATAAACATGACTGAAAAAGCAAGAACCAAAACAATCCACATTCTATTCCGCTGTAAGAGTTTCACATGTGCTGTCAGCTCCCCCGGCTTCAGTCTCAGCTCCTGACTCTTAACAGGACAGTAGGTGGCACTGTGGCTCAAGCACAGAATGAACATCCCAGAAATTCAAACTTTCACTCTGTCAGTGTTTAACTCCAGGAAAAATTCCCCTCCCATAAAAAGTATCACTTGTTCCAACTCTGCAAATAACAGAAGTTGAAGCAAACTTCTTAAGTGACAGTTATTGAATCTTATGAGCGATGGATGGAGTTTAAATGGAAGATTCTCGCTTTTGTGCCGTGAGCCCATTTCTCTGGAGTTCATGTTATGTTCGGTCCTGTGAGATTTGTCCCGAGGTGCACAGGCAGAGAGGGGCATTAATTTGGAATCTCCTCCACCAATCATCATCAGAGAGAAGCTTCACAGCAGAGGTCTCTCCTTTCTTTCGTGCAGCTAATTAGGTTTTGTCGCATGTTGGATGGTCGACTAAATATCACCTTTATTATCCAGCTACATTGATTTGTCCTCCCGGGTGCCGAGAACTGAAGACACAAGTCAGAGAGTTGGAACATACTTTCCTGCCTCTCTGAGAGATTATCTTGTCATGTGCTGAACCTGGAGCATCTGCTGAAACACTAACAGCGCCAGAAAAATATTGATCTTAATGAAGCTGTGGTTGTCATGGCTGCAGACATACAAGTGACACAGAATGGCAGGAGTCTCTAAATTAAAACAAATGGAAATATTGAGTATAATTGTCCATTTTCTTTCATTTCTACAGGCTTTTTCACTATATGAGTAGTTTTCTGTAACTAATGTTGACTATAGTCATCTGAAAAACGGCCTGAGGGTGAAAATGAGCTTCTTTGATATCAAATGTTATCATTGATGCCACAGCTATTCATGATGTACTACAGAGTGGTCTTGTCCTCAGGGTTTTGTGAGTCATCAAGGGGCCTGTTCAGGACAATTTATTTTGTTTGCGGCGATACAATTAGAAAGAGCGACAGAGGGGACGTGATGACAAACATTAGAACCAGAACAGCCTGTGAATGCATATGTTAACATTTATTACATACATCAGTGACTTCTGTACTGTTCACTCCTCTATAAACATTTGACAATCTGGCATCTATGAGGGAGACGCTCCAACACAACGAGCTTCGGCCAAATGTAAGTGCTAAGTGTTGTAATGAACTTGAAGGTTATGACTGTTACTTCATTGGTTTTAGCTTTATGTACTGCAGCTAAGTATCACCAGGAATTACATATTTATTGGACTAATTTTATTCACTTCAAACCTTCAGTGCCAATGAAAGAAGGAGCTTAATGCACCCTACATCTATCCCAAGGGAAATTAACAGTGTGGAGGTCGAGGGTGGTGTATAGGCATCTAGGAAGTCTGTGTCAGACCTGAATTTATCTGTTGCCCTTTTCATCATAGCCCTCATTTTCTAACCTTAATTAAGTATTAAATCTAACCTTAAAGGTATAATCCTTAAAGTTTATATTTTATCAGACCTCGCTTTTGATACCATCTGCATCTGTCCAGCATGAGCCATTCAATATACTGTATGTATATCCTGTAACCTCCTGTCTATTTGCTGGTTAAGTTAAAAGATGGGAATAACACTCACATTAAGTTAAATATTTAATGGATGCATGGTTCAACAAAACGTCACATAAAGAGAAGATCCACACACCTAAAGCCCTCGTTTAAGGATTTATTTGCCAGTGACATTTAAAGCACAAGGCTGTTCCTCAGATTTCTGATAAAGAACAGAGTCGCCATTTTAAATACCCAGAATCCACTTGTTAGAATAACACCTGACACCTATTTTATAACAGAGAAGCCTCTAATAGTTAGTATTTAGGACAGCTTACTAGCCTGAACCTGTTGTGGAACAACATGAACTTATGGTAGGATTTGCTCGAAATGGATTGTGGGTATTTAGGACGATGACTCTCTTCTTTATAAGAAGTCTGAGGAAGAGTCTTGTGCTAAAAACGTCACAGGTTAAAAATCCTTCAATGGGAGCTTCTTTCACGGTATGTGAATTTTGTCTTTTTCAAATGTTATATAGAGGTTTAGCACAAAGTAATTCAGTATTGCTAATTCAGCATGATTGTTTGTCATGTTCTGTCACAGACATCTGTCTTGCTGTTCACCACTTCTCTCAGCTGTGTCACAGCTGGTTAGTGTTGACTGTGGATCACCATATCATCAGAAATGTGCCTTAAGACAATAAAACTGTCATTTTCTTCATCAAAACATCAGCTGTTTGAGAACAGACCAGTTGGTGTTTGGTTGTTTCAAGAATTCCACCACCTGCAGGAGGCCATTAAAGCACACTTGCTGTTACCAAGGTAACTATGGGTAAAGCCCAATTAACCATAATTGAGATTAAATTAATATAAAGGCATACCTTAACCATATTCAATTTGCTATATTATCATTAATGATTAATACCCAACTAACCATGAGCAATTCACCCATAAAGCATTAGAAGCAATGGCATTTAATATAAAAAAGTTTCATGTATGCATTATGTTCTTGTAAAAGTAGTTTTGTGTTACTGTCCTTTCTGTTGTATTTCTTGTTGTTTACTACTAAAACACAAATCCTGTACTTCACCGTAAGAAAGACATCATCAGTATTTCTGCTGACGACGTTAGTGGCTCTTGAAATGACTGCTGGGTAAATTGCCTTAATGAAATACGTCAGGAACAATAAACTCACCCTCGCAAACACCGTTCCTCGGCTGGTAGCCTGCAGGACAAGTGACCTGCAGCTCGCATACAAATGAGCCCACTGTGTTCACGCAGCGCTCACCAGGCCGACAACTGTGGGTGTTGGTCACGCACTCGTCCACATCTGTAGGAGAAGACAAACGGTGACTGTGTGAAATGACAGCGGGGGGGTGGGGGGACAGAGAGAGGGTCATGGACAGGGCCTGTATGTAATTCCCCGTCCTCTGCACGAATATCACACTGATGGAGCTCAATGAATCAACAACAGATGGACATAAGCACATAAAGTTTTGGAAACAAAGTTGTTTCTCACATCTAGGAGTTGGAGGAGTAGCAAAATTGTGTTTTGCCTCTGCCTGTGTGAAATGTGCTTGCTTAAAAATTCAGCTGAAAACACAAAAGTCATTCACTTTCAACAGTCTTGAATCATGGGATAGAGGTTTTTAAATTCATGTTTTTTCTATTATTAAAAGGATAAAAAAGCACTTTAGAGATAATCATATTGGCCGTTTTCAGACATGAACTCTGCACAATTGGGTCTGGACTTGCCTCAGAGATTTCCTCTCACACATGAACAACGCAGCAGGAGATTCTCCGCTCAGATGCATTCAAAACAACACGGAAATCTCTGATGTATCCAGGTGAGGGTGGTGCAGCAGGCACAGGCACGACCTGACGTATAAAATCTGCTGCAGAGATCACATGTTTTTGTTTACAGCACCGGCCCTAATCACCAAAAGCTCTAGTGACATCTTCGCATGTGTCTTCTACATATGGCAGTGCTTTTTCATCCTTGTTTTTCAGTTTTTCAGTTTTGCATCTGTCGTGTATTAAAAACTTCATCATCACTTGTGTGAATCCTGCGGAGGATCTCCTGTTGTTTTCTCACAGGCTCATTCGGACACTCCCAAGTTTTTACTAGGGGATGGAGAAAGTCCAGAGGCTGTGACTCGGATATTTGTGTTCTCACAAACATCCCATCAGGAGAAGGTCAGGCGATTGTCCAGAGTTCAGAGCCCCTGAGTGGGCAGGTTAGCTGTTGGAGCACTGCTATTTGCACAGCACACTGACAATGTGAGCAAGTCATTGTCTGTTTAGCATTTAGCATCTAACAGGCCAGATGTTTTGTTTAGGAGCTGGTAAAGGCTGAAACCAAAAACCAATCCGCCCAGAAACAAACACGAAAATGAATCATAATGTACAGTTTGTGAGGGATGTGTTATTTAACCATAGTTTGTATTTGGCATACAATGACTTATAAGGTCAGTGATTACTGTATATGTCATTAATTGTTCTGCTGCCTACTAGCCAATAATATGAATTATTACTGATCTGAGGACCACAGCATTTAGATTATATACCAATATTGATTATCTCAGGTAAATGTTGAAGCTGTTCAATAAGTTCCAGCTGACTAGCTAATTGGCAGCTAATCCTACATGCTGATGATGGTGATTAATGTTTGATCGTCCCTTCAGTGAGCTCATGGAGACACGTCTCCCTGTTTAAAGATTGGAAGGATTTACAAGCTAGGGCTAATATGGATTGAGGGTTTTTTGTGAGTTGCATTGTGTAGTGACACAGTAAATATATGCAGAAATACAGTATATTAACATGATTTGATTGTTCTCAAGCCAGACTGGACAAACTACAACACCTTTTGAGTTTCTATGACAACTGAAGGCTACCACAGGTTCTTTTTCATGTTTGGAAGGAGAGGGTGAGGCGAGGGGTGTTCAGCAGCAACATGCAAATTCAACACTAGATATCACTAAATTCTACACACTGTACCTTTAAATACACATATGTTTACACTTTTGTCAAACAGCAGCGTGGCTGGTAAACACTCGCTGTTGATTTATGACACTTGTGGGCTCGTGCTGACACAGTGGATCCTCGCTCCGTTGAGGCTTAACTTCATCAAACTGCTGCATTCTCTTATCATGCATTGCAGTGAATGGATGATTATCTGGACACACTGATAGGAATGGACTGGGATTATTTTTGCATCTCTGCAAATGCGTGTCCATGTAAAAGTGTGACGGATATTCGGATCAGAGGATTACCTCAAACTACAGACCAACTTGTGATGGGATAATACCAGTCACCAGGGTGATGGTCTAAAACATGCAAACTCATTACTACTTAACTACATTAGTACTCAATACCATCAGAAGTCAGTAGATATACTTTATTATTTTATGAGTACTAAGTATTCATCACCAATTTATCACGTAGTTACATTAGTAGTCATTAATTCATTATTACAATAGTACTGAGTACTACACTACTACATTGTTACATGAGTAGTTAGTAACAGTTGCGACCATGATCACACAATCTGTCCACAGACAGCTGCCAAATTTGTCAAAACTGCCACAGGACCACATTTTGCAACGAAGGCGCACGCACGGACACACACACACACACACACACACACACACATTCAGCATGTACTTAGCCAGATGAAATTTTATAAAATAAGACAAAAAAACAAAAATCGAGATAATAAACTAAACACTAGAGTAAAACAAAAAGCTTCTTTATTTATTATATTTACTTAAATAAATTACTTTATTCAATTCTTTTTTTTAACCATCTGTTTAGAGATTGAAGGGAAATATAAATCAGTTTATCTTAACACTTCATTTTAGTTTTTAATAACTAGTTTTACATTTGGTGAAGACGAAACCAGCCAGCCTGCTATGCGGATGGTAAATATGTCCCAATCCACAGGGAACAAGAAAAAAAGGTCTTGAACAAATCTGCATGAAGGAGTCAAGGCTTACAGACTAAAAACAAGATGTAGAGGGGAACATACTCTCCTGTGTTGCCTGCGGATCTGCTGTCAGTCCCTTGTTGAAATGCCTTCCTCGACTCTCAGAGCTTTTGCCACAGGGACTCTGAATGAACTGTGTACCTTACAACACTTCTGAATGGGGAGAAGGAGGAGGAAAAATACTGATCTGAGGTTCTCAGCATGTACCTAGTGTTGAGTAAAAGCCTGCAGTTTTTCTCCTTGAGGTTATTCAGCTCAGAAAACTACACAAGCATCACCCCAAAGTACCGAACTTATTTTATTATATAAAACCCTCTGCGGAGCTGCTGAAAAGACATTTGTCTTACTCACTAAAATTAAGAGTTTTCCTTTTTGCCATTGTATCATTGTGTAGTCTCCAGATGCTGTGAAGGCAGTGCACTGATGACACACTCTTGTTTTGGGGCCTGCCTTCTTAAATGTCCCGGAGAGACATCGGCTGACTTTGTTGTAGGGAGGATATTTTCAGGGGCACATCACACTGACTCCGCCCCGTCCTCCGGGCCCAGCGCTCCGTCAAGCCTCGGGATGGATGGGACTGCTTCCAGTGTTTGAATATTGCCAGTGGTGCAGAAAGTCGCCTTCCACCACAGGGGTCTGGCATTATATTCAGTGCGTCATTCAAGGAGGGAAAAAAAAAGTTAGGAAAAAATGCCTATTGCCTTAAGGTCCCTACCTTCTCTGACTGGTCCCTGGGGACATCTACATTACACAGCTGTGAGGAGTGAAGCGATGCAATAAAAAACAAAGTAACAAAGAGGAATACAAATGCTTAGCTGAACAGAGAAGGGAGATTGTGTTAAAGGAATTCTATCAAGAGACAGGAGGAGGCTGTGCACAGGGACGCGAGGCAGCACCATTACACACTGAAGGTAACACACACACTGTTGTTCTCAAACACTGGACCCAGCAGACGACAAGGTTCTTTAAAAAGTTCAAGCTGAGGTAGATGAAGTCAGACTTGGCTTATTAGCAGATCTGGTTTGCGACAGCAGGGTTAGGGTTACACAGATGCAGACTTGGAGTCAAGTCCAGGCTGTGTGCATTATGTCTTGATCATCTCCGACAAGGGATGAATAGTGTCGACTTGACGTGCAGAACAGTTATTAGGCTTTTTGATCCCAAAATAAAGATCTTAACAGCACTAAAAAGCTTGATGTCGAGTGCACATGAATTTAGACGCTTAATTCAAGTACACATACGCATTTTTTCATAGACATGCAGAATGCACTGGCTAAAGTGAAGTACAAACCAGAAGGTGTGGTGATTAATTGTTACTTTTCTCTGCCAGTTGCATTAACCAATTATTACCTTTTAAACAATGGTTATTGAAGCAATTTATAGATTCAAAACAGAAATAAATGCAATTCTCATGACAGAAATGCATTCTAATAAAAGAACATAACATTGAGTCGAAGACTAACATATCCATGAGGGTGGTCCTCCTGGCTTGTATGTGATTGTGCTGAAGAAAAGAAAAATAGAGGCAGAACCTTGCGCTTTCCAAGAGAAGACACTTATCTTTTTGTAACAAAAGAGGATTTGCTCAAAGTGATATAAAGGCAAATCTCAGATTCATCTGCAGCTGTAAACATGTAGCTGGATGGTTTAAAAGGACAAATGCCTTTAGATAAAGTTAACACTCTTCCATGGAGTTTGGGACCAACAACTAGCTTCCACAGGACACATTGTGACTGAGATAAAGCGACACAAACAAGTTTAGTGGTGAGTGAGCTGATAGCTAAAAAGCTGAAACCTCATTCAGAAGGAGATTTTCTAAGGAAGTTTGTTGCCGAAACCAGAAAAGGACAAATTGTTCCAAAGTATCAGACACTGAACCACTATGAGTGGTGAGGATTAGTAGCACCATCATCATCAATACCATCTGACATCGAATGCCTCACAAAAGCAAAGCAGCTCCAAGCATCGCATTAGAGAAGTTAGTGTGATATGTGCATTCAGTAATTTAATATGGCCGTCAAAGCATGTTTTAAAAATGAAAATGGTCATTGGTGGGAAAAAGGTACATATACATAGAGATACTTATAGTTAGTAGACATAGAAGACATGAATAGAGTTGGATGGAAATCAAAGTGTGATGTGATTGTGATCTAAATGCGCTTCCTTGTGAAGCCAAGGTCCAAACTCACAGGCGTTTTCACTTATGTGCCTAATTAGAGCTTTCAGTGGTCTGCAGTTCTCACTGGAGCTTCTCCAAAACACGACCATCAATTCGACATACAATACACCACTTAACCACTTATACTGACACAATAGCACACATACCTACAGCAGTGTAAACAAGA